GTAATAAATATCAAAGTGGACTCCTCAGAAAACTTGCACAACCTAATCTTCACAGACATCTGAGAATGCCATTTTTTCAAAACTATGGTTAGAAAGATTCAGTCCAACAAATGGCCAAATGAAAGGTCTTCCAATAAATGGACGTTAATTTGACAGATGGCCAGTTCTGTCCGTATTATAAAGAACTACCACTTTTGAGAACGTTGTGTTTCATACCTTCTCTTTAGCTTCTTCAGGTGCTGCTAAGTCCCCTCTAACTCTATGCTCCACCCAAAATTGTCTTTCTCTTGTCCTTGCAAGAGCCACTAATTCTGCCTCACTTTCTCCCTGCACTTTCTTATTTCCTCGAGGTGGTCCTCTCAGAACGGAAGACCAGGTTAGTCCCTATTTTTACTTGTCTCTATTGTAGTTGCCTTCCTTGCTCAAACCTTGTTCAAGGTTTGTCTCTCCAGCTAACCTGTGGGCTTCCTGAAGACTTGTCCAACTTGGTAACTCTGGCACCTACTTATTTAAAGGCAGGCATACCAACCGGACACGAGAGGCTTTTAGTTTCTACCTGTGACACAGATCTATGTGTCATCATGGCTAGTTTCATTTGTCTCCTAACTGCAGTTTGCAGCCTGCTGGCTGCTCATAGAACTGAAGTCTATGTATTTGACCTTTCCTTAATTTGTTTATAAAGTTATGTGAACAATGGAATTATTTCCCTTTCAAGATGAAGACTTTCATGCTCTGATAATGGCTCTGGCAAATGAAAACAACGGAACTGGGAAAGCCTGAATTTGTATCCAGTTAACTGAGCTAATGTCTGGGATTGGGACACCCAGGGACTGTGTGTCATACTCTTGAGGCACTGATGGCAAGGTTGGGTTATATTACATTCTTCGCTTCCTTTGACCTGTTTTCCATCATGCTCAGCTTAAATATGATAAAGATTAAGTCTGTAGGTCTTTAGAAAGTGTGTATTTTCTTTTTAATTTTATTGAAGATGAGTCTTTGGAGTCAGTTGGCATGATAATATTGTCATAGCAAATGTATATTTGCATGTGGATGTGCATAGTGTCTTATTAATGTTCTTAATAGAATTATTGTTTTGGAGGAAAAATCAAGAATTTTAACTGCCTATCACGGTGAGCCCATCTACTCTCTGTTCTGTCAGTATGATTTTCTGAATTTCCTGCTAATGACACATTCACAGAAAGAAAAAAAACTAACCGATAAAATTTGAGCAGATTCATATCTTCTAGATGCATGTTCTTATTTCTGAACACAGAGTTTGAGTTCTAAGAAAAGAGGAAACCAAATGTTCATAGAGCCTTTTGAAAACTATAGCACAGGCAAATGGTGAGCCATTTCTTGAGTGCTGTGACTAGATCCTCATGTGGGAAAGGACTGATAGGGAGTGCTGTCTTCATTCTGCGCATAAATAGTCAGATGGGGAGTATCTTATACAAGACCTGATACTTGAAGGTAGAATCATGAATTTATGCCTTAGATAGCCTTTCTCCTATAGGATATCACACTTTTCTATGTATTTTTTTTTTTTACATACTTTTCCTGTCATATTCCCATTTGCCTAGATTTTAGAGCTTAGCATAATCAAGGCTGTGGAAAGTCACATGACTTGTTTATGAATGTTTAGAAGCCTGTGTAGAAAGATGCACTTTGAGTATTTCTCAGGTAGTCTGATCTGTGTTCTGATTTTTTTTTTTTTTTGGCTTTAGGAACAGAGAACTTAGATATTTGCCTGAAAATTTTTTGTAAAGTATTTATATTCTCTCTTTCTCTGACACATACCTGCACGCGCGTGCGCGTGCGCGCGCGCACACACACACACACATTTCTATGTGCAAGACAGTGATTTCGATATTTCAGATGTGTTAATTACCAGATTTGAGATTATATTTTCATTCTACCAAACTCTACCTCAAGAAATTGCTGCACGAGTCCATGTCTTTTTATTTCTTATATTTTAGGTTAATTCTTTATTGTAAATATCATGTAATTGCATCTTCTAGAGTCTTAAGAATGGGCAGATAGTGAGTGATAGAACTCAGTGAAGATAGTGTGTGCATGTGTGAAGTTTTGATATTTTTTTGTTGTTGTTGTTGTCTTCTGTGAGAAGAATTAAATAAAATGATCAAAGATTCTACATGATACCTTGGTGGTACCAGTTTTGGTTAATTTGGAACCTAACAACAGCTACATAAATACCTTGTATGGTTGTTTCCTTTTCCTTTCAGCCGCAAAGTCAGAAATCAAAGGATAGCTTTAGTTGTTCATGTGTAGTTGATTCTTAATCTAAAAATTTCTGAAAGTAGTGAATGTTTTATGGTTTATGCTGCTCTGAGAGTTAATTACCTTAAAAATAGATTTATTAAAACTCAAAGACTGCTAGTAATCAATATCTCTAAAAATGGATCTATTTCGGGATAGTTTCCAAGCCACTATATGCTCATCTTTTTTTTTTCCTTTTTCTTCCTTTGTGATAATAACAGGTGATACAAGGAAATGGTATACATGTCAAGATTTTTCTGATTAGGTGAACCAAGTATATTTGGCTAACACCTCCTTGCCACTTGTTTTGAAAACTACCTTCTCTTCTTTTCTCTTCTCTTCTCAGTTATTTACATGTTACTGTCTACATGAAGATTGCTATCTCTTTTTGTGCATACGTCATTATGTTTTGCACTTTAAATTTCATTCTAAAATGTACTGACTGAATACAATCACCATTGTCACCTGCTTTGATCAACCACATTTCTCAGTGTGGATTCTAGGGAATCCTAGATTTAAACATTTAGATATTTCAAATGTTATGAGAAAAAAAGATGGTTCTGTGGTGATGTAAGTTGAACTTCTTTGCTGCAGAGTGATTCAGATATTTATAAGTATGTTAATGTGCATAATGATTTCCTAAGAGAGAGATAATAGTAAAGGCTTTTCTGCAAAGAGTTTCATGCTTTGGGACTAACTGGCTTTCTTATTTTGGAGATAAGAAAACAGGCCCTGAGAAATTAACCAACTTGCTTACAATTAAACCTCCAGACTTTCACTACAGCGACATTCTAAGATGGGTACTGCTGAGACCACACCTTGCGAGCTCTTGTGATAAAAGTAGCCCTTATTCTGACTCTGGGATTGTACTTCTTATTTGTTTTGAATGACAAGAGATGTATTTCTGAAAAACTGCCCATGAAGTTTCAAATTTCCACCTGGGGAGTATATTGAGTTATTTACATTTTTTTCTTCCCTGCATTCTTTCCCTGAAAGAAAGAAAGAAAGAAAGAAAGAGACACGTACAAAAACCCAAATCATTATTATAGGGGATACCAGAGTAGGGTTTTAGAGACACACCTTGTTGCCTTGGAAACTTCATCCCCACACTAAAATTTCAGTGTATCTGTGGCTTTTGCAGTCTTATTTCTTTGGAGTTCATGTTCTTAGTAAATAATTTTAAATGCCAAGCATAGAGTATACATGGGTAAGTAGGTTGGATGTAACCCCATGACTTTCTAGAGTTCCTAATGTCGAATGGCAGAAAAGCGAAATTAAAGAAATAATCAATTTATCAAAAATAAACAAATAATTATGATAAATGTTACAGAGAACTATTAATTGTATAATAAAGAGGGGCATTTTCTTTTTTTTTTTTCAGAAAATGTTTAATAATCGATAGAACACTTTATTTTTGTTTGTTCTTCAAATTTTATTTAAGTTCTCATTAGTTAACATATAGTGTAATATTAGTTTCAGGAGTAGAACTTAGTGACTCATCACTTTCAGACAACACCCAGTGCTCATCATAACAAGTGCCCTCCTTAATACCCACCCATCTAGCCCATCCCCGACCCCCACTCCTCCTCCACCAACCCTGAGTTTATTCTCTATTGTAAAGAGTCTCTTATGGTTTATTTCAAGAGGGGCCTTTTCTAGCCAGAGGGTGCAAAGCAGGCTTCCTGGGGAAGTGACTTAAGCTGAGCCCTGTAAGATGCCTGTAAGGAAGATGCCTTCCTTACAGGAAGGGGGTTGGAGGCAGAGCTAAGGGCAGGTTCCTTAGGGCTACAAGAGCTTGGCATTAAGAAGTGTGCAGAAATTGGTGTGGTTCCTGTGTGGGTAGTGCTTGAGCTGTGGTGCGAAATCTGATATGTGAGTGCACGAGGTTGCTTTCTTGCCCTGATGCATATGTACTGTTTGCCAACAAGAGCCATTGTTGTTGGTGTGCCATTTACCTGGTTAGTTTTGATGTTCCTCTTCCCCTGTCATTTATATGTATAATGAAAGTAGTTTTCTATCATCAAAAAGTCTGGGAAAATGCTGCATACATTCTGCCTAGAAGTAATCACCCTTGTAATGAAAATAATCCTTTCCCAGAGACAAGACAGGCACCCAGACAGCCCATTCAAATAACTCTAGATAGTGATTTTTCCTGCATTCTTTAAGGCATCATTTAGAAGTGTCATCATTTAGTTGTGAATACTAATAAAGGATTAGAAATTATATATATACTCACTGACAAGAAAAAGGTAAAAGGTCAAGAAATAATTATTATAAGGGCGCCTGGGTGGCTCAGTTGGTTAAGCGTCTGACTTTGGCTCAGGTCATAATCTCATGTTTTGTGGGTTTGAGCCCCGCATCAGGCTCCGTGCTGACAGCTCAGAGCCTAGAGCCCACTTTGGATTCTGTGTCTCCCTCTCTCTCTCTGCCCCTCCTCTGCTCACGCTCTGTCTCTTTCAGTCTCTCAAAAAGAAATAAAACATTAAAAAAAATTGAAAGTGTCTATAGTGCTTTGGAATATTTCGTATTTATTATAGATTTTTAACATATATGAAATCGATTATAAAGGAATTTGCAGAATTTAGAAGAATATAATAGAAATTTGATTTGACATCATTATGCTTTCACATCATTTTCTGGTGTTTCCTTAAAAACACGTGTATTTGGGATTTAACCCTATGCTTTACTGACCACTTTGTTTTTTTGTCTTCTGCCTCTTCTAGTCTAATGGTATTGCAGCCGTCATTGCCATTTTGGTGTTACTGCTACTACTGGGCATTGGTTTGATGTGGTGGTTTTGGCCCCTGTGCTGCAAAGTGGTGAGTAAGGAGGATTTTCAACTCTACTCATTTGTGAAGCAATGAGATATAAAGTAAGGCCTGAACTGTGAATCCATGCTCTCTTGTCAACAACAGTAAAGTTTCAGTTAGTGAATTGAATTTTAGTAGTTTTTCATAAAAAAACTCTAATAAATTCTAGAAAACATCCATGCCAATAAATGTTTCTTATAAAACTTCATCTGAAAAAAACATTTCAAAATCAAGCTTGGAGGGAGAAGGCGAGAGGGTAGGAGGAGAGGTAGTAGGGATAAAGGGCTTTCTACTTTAGTACAAAAGAATTTCCAGTAAGTTGAATGATACTTTCTGTTGGATTCATGGAGAGAGGTTGATAATCTGTCAGGTTTTCTTGTCAGTGCTTATTGAATCTTTCATTACCTCTTTAGAAGATCTATTTCAGGACCTTCTCTGTGCCTCTCAGAGAAACATTTTAGAAATAAACTGTATGCAAATGTTAGGGTGTCTGTCACACAGGCAGTTTTGAAGTTATGATGGTGTATTTGTGTTATTTTTCCTGTTTGAGTAACGCCTTTGAAAGAATACAGGTTTATATTCATTTTCTATTGCTATTTTAACAAATTGCAGTGCATTCCATGGCTTAAAGCAACCCAAATTTGTTATCTAGCAGTGATTTAATCACAGATCTAAGATGGGTCCAGTGAGGCTGGACTAAACTGGACTAAGTTACATTCCTGTCTTAATGCTCGGGATGGGTCCCTAGCCTTCTCCGGCTTCTCGAGGCCACACTCCTACCTTGTTTCCTCCATCTTCTCTCTCAGCCCAGCTGAGAAAGGACCTCCAGTGTTCAGGAACCATGTGAAGAAATTGGACCCAGGATAATCTACCCCCTCAAGGTCCTTAACTTTATCATATCTGCAAAGTTCCTTTTGCTATGTAATGGACATTATTCATAGTTCCAGGGACATTTGCGGGGAGGGGGCATTATTCTGTCTACTGCAGGATGGAATGTTGAGTAATAAAGTTCACCACATTTCAAGTAACCCAATTTAGATTGTTCAGGTTTCCTAATCATAGGAAAGATTATCTGAAGAAGCACTCATTCAAAGCATACCTCCTACTCAGTTTGAGGTATGCTCAAGTTTGTATTCTTTTTATTATCAGCACATTAGGTAGAACATTATATTCTGTAGATCACAGTGGTGTTGTGCCTAATATTACTAGATTGCCTCTCTTCTCCCTCACCTTTGCTGACTAATTTCAGCTTCCTTATAACTTCAGGCACTACTTTGCATCACTCCTGCATTTATTATTAATTGTACTTCATTCTGTTTTTGTGAGTCAGCTTTACAATCCTTTGTCTCAGAGCTGTTGCCCCATACAAGAGGTATAGAATTAACTCAGACAACGGTAGAGACAAGAAACATCCTGTCTCTTTACTGAACTAATCAGTCTCCTGTCATAGCAGTTTATGCTCAAATGGTTTCCTGTTGTAATCTCGATTATCCTAGATATGGCTATTTTTGGGTAGCATTCTTGAGTCAAATTGAAAGCAAAAGGGTGCCTTAATATGATGTGTTCTTGTTTTTTTTAATTTATCTTTTGCAGTGGTGGATGTGCTTTCCATCTTTATTTTGCAGTTTCCTTTATTATTGATCAGATGGCTCAAAAGTGGCAAAGTATATGATTCTTTTAAAGACCTGTGTGAAAACTAAAATGGGCTCTTTGGGACATTGCTAGCTGTGCTCAAATAACGATCTTGACCACCATTTTGGATGTTACAGAGAGGACTCGATCTCCAGGTGGTGAGAATAGATTCATTTTAATCCTGAGACTAGGGATCATGGATCACGAGAGATCACAAGGTGTATTTCTTTATGCAAAGCACAGAGGGCTACCTTTAAGGTATGTTGTCAGGATGTCAGAATGGCCTTTTATCCTTACAGACATTATGAGTTCTTACGGATTTCTGAAACTTAATAGAGAGATCCCCCTGTATTTTACATTGATAACTATAGTTAAAAGAGCAGCAGGCCTCGAGTATGAACTTATATTTATACTTAGGTATAAATGAATCATAGCAAATGTCTTCTAAAGTAGATTTAAAGCAGGGTAGAAGCAAAATTCCGTATTCAGCCCTTGGAATCTGTGTCAGTACTATATTAGGAACTGGGGGTACAAAAATGACTATAAGATGATACGGAAATTCGTATTTTAATATGGAAACACAGAAATGTGGGCAAAGTATAAATGGAGGGGCATGAGTGTCCCCATAGCGACATATGTAAAGCACACTAAGAACATAGGAGAAGGGATTTACCAGAGTCACAGGATTGTTTTAGGGAAACCTCACTGGGCTGATGACTCCACACTGAGTTTTGAATAATGAATAAGATGTTTACAGTTGATGAGGCATATTTCAGATGAAGTGTGTGTGTGGAATTACACTGAGTTATTCCGGCATGCTTTGGGGAGCCCTAGGCTGAGGCTTTTACCTGGTGCGCCAGTGAAAGGGAAGTGTGAAAGACGGGTTGGGATTTAAGCAGGAATCTCATTAGGGAGGCTTCTTCTGTCTTTTCCGAAGTTTGAACTCCCCCCGGGAGGATGAGAAGCCACTGGAGAGATTTGATCAGTATAATCCCCTGAAAGAAGCTTTGCTTGGTTTACAGCAGTGTCTACCCAGGTCCGGTCCTGGTGGGGATTAAGTCTGTATCCTGCTGAGTTTCCATCAACAATTGAAATGGGAAGCCAGTGACAGATGATATGCCTTGGATATGGCCAAAGCAAAGGAGGGCTAACAAAGTGCATATAGGAAGGAAGATGGAAGCTAAGTGAGCTAGGGAAGAATGAAGAGGTGATGTGAAGAAAAAGGGGCACAGGGACCATAGCCTTGTGACACAATCTCGAGAGTGTCCAAGGGTGTTGTGGTGCAATTGCAGGATATTTGTTTTACTTTGTTCCTTTAAGAGAATATGTTTGCACAATGTGGGACTTAGAACGTAGTTAGCTAAATAATTCTGAGCAGTTAAATTGTTAGGGATCAATTTAACTTTGACTATCTGTTGTTACCAGTAATATTACTTTCGAATGTGAAATGAGATGCATTTATTTCAGCTTGGTGTTGTACAAATTTTGAGTGTTTTTAAAGTACTAGTGGATGGGGCACCTGGGTAGCTCAGTCGGTTGAGTGTTCGACTTCTGCTCAAGTCAGTCTCGTGGTTTGTGAGTTTGAGGCCTGCAACAGGCTCTCTGCTGTCAGCACAGAGCCCCGTTTGGATCCTCTGTCCCCCCCCTCTGCCCCCACTCCCTCCCCCACACTCTTGCATGCTCCCCCCCCACTCTTTCATGTTCTGTCTCTCTCTCTCAAAAATAATAAACATAAAAAAATAAAAGTGCTAGTGGCAAACATTTAAATTTAATATTTCTGAGGTGTCTGGGTGGCTCAGTCAGTTAAGTGTCTGATTTTGGCTCAGGTCATGAATTCATAGTTCGTGGGTTTGCACTCCATGGTGGGCTCTGTGCTGACGGCTCAGATCCTGGAGCCTGCTTTGGATTCTGTGTCTCCCTCTCTCTCTGTTTCTCCCCTACTCATGCTCTGTCTCTCTCTCTCTCTGTCTCTTTGTCTCTCTCTCTCTCTCTCAAAAGTATATAAACATTTAAAAAATCAAATGTAATCTTTCAGCTGACACATGACTAAGAGCTCAAAAATGTTTGTTCTCAGGCACATTTAGATTATGTGAGTGGTCTACTTTCTTGAGGATCTTATGCTCGGGAGCTCTTAGAAAGATAGAAAGCCTAGATATGAAGCCCTGAACAGAGGCCCTAATATTTGTCACACATTCTCATTCAATCATTTAATATTTTATGCATATATCTTATGAAGTGATTTGTTCATTATTCAGAGATTAAAATTCCACAGATCCCTGATCAATAACTCAAAAATGACAGTGTTCCTTGTACTTCAGACAGTGGCTCTCATTTTTTTTTCCCTGCCCCAAATAACCAGAAGGTCTCAGAGAAGTAGTGGTAAGATTTCCCATGGTGGTGATTCTCCCTGAAGGGGAAGGACAGGGCTGGTTCTCCAGGATTCAGAGCCACTTGAAGAAGCCCTTGGGGTTGGATGAATAATGGTCCCTTAAGATATGCAGGTCTTAATTCCTGGAAACTGTGAATGTTATCTTCTGTGGCAGAAGGAACTTTGAGATGTGATTAAATTAAGGATCTTGAGCTAGGGAGGTTAGCCAGGAGGACCTACTGGTGGGCTCTAAATGCAGTCACAAGTGTCCTTGTAAGAGGGAGACAGAGGGAGATGAGCCTACGGAAGGGGAAGTGGCAGTGTGACCATGGAGGCAGAGACTGGAGGGTGCTGTTACTGCCTAGGGAATGATGACCATCACAGGAGCTCAGGGAGACAAGCAACAGATACAGCCCCGGAGCCTATAGAAGGAACCAGCTCTACTGATACCTGATTTTAGCCTTCTAAGACTCCATTCAGACCTCTGACTTCCAGAACCGTAAGAAAATAAATTTTCTGTTTGTCTTAAGCCATTGCAATTGTGGTGGCTTGTTGCAGCAGTGTTAAGAAACTAATACAGTTCTTAAAGGGTTCTTCTCTTCCCCAGGGTTGGGAATGAGTGCCTAGGGCTATTGATTTGGCGCGTCTTATGTAACATGTTTTCCGAGCGGCTCCTTACAGAAACTGTTCATGGAGTACAAGAGGTTGTAAAATGGAAGACAATGAAATATTCTTCAAAATGTTAGCAGTGGTTCCAAGGCTATTAAGGAGTCAATATGCATTTTTAAAAATTAGAATTACATTTCTGTTTTGTTTTGAGTAACCATAAAATAAATGTGCATAATGTTTTATATACTGAGTAGAAGTGACTTTATTGTTTCGGAGTGACAGGAAGTTTTGGAAGAAACAGGTTTCTGATTTTTAGATGTATCCAAGGCATATATGTTGTTAGAACCATCAGACAACCGGGATCCACGGACAGCTCTCTCGGGAGCTTGTTAATTTGCTA